ACAACAAGACCAAGTTGCGACAACGAGGTCAATCCACTTCTATAAATCAAAAGGAGACTGCGACCATACCAGAGACCACAACATCTTAGTCTTCATATCTTCAAAGATATGTGAAGTTCAAAGTAGTATTGAGGCCAACCTAAATAGTTATGGGAAAATTCCTTTACCAGTGCCTTATTACCCTATACGAAATAGGGTGAATACCTTTATTATTTTTAGTGTATAAGTAGGTTCTCGGGATTACCAGTAGGTCGTATAGAAAAACTCTATTCATCCTATTTCTTTCAAGTTTATGAAGGAACGATAGCTAAATTTTCACAAAATGATATGAGTAGGCCTCATATTTGCATCACCCCAAACAACACAGTTGGAACACAGCTCTTATACAAAGTTTACTTATAGTTTTTAAAACCTTCTTATAAATGCAAAACGAGTAATATAGATTTTAATACCAGAATGTTGTAACCTCTATGTTGGCCGCAGTCTGGGAATGTACCAAGTCAACGGTCCGACGCAGAGAATCATCATAACTGCCATAGCAGAGGACTTCAGATGAGGTGTGTAAACTAAGTTGTGAAAATGCGATCAGACCACTTCAATGAGTAGTATTGTTGAATGACATAGGGAACACAATTTTGCTTCGCCCACAATCTCACCACAGAAATGTGATATGGTAAAGGAGTAGGCTTCCTTGAAATTCACTTCTGCTTTGTCACCCAAGGGTACTAGTGGCGGTCTGGCGTAGTGGTTGATAATTCTTATTGACTGATTAATTATTCAGATGGGCTGAAAGATTTAGTAAAAGGTTTCGTCCGGCTTCATATACCTCAAGTTGGGTGACGAAAGTATGATGCAGACCTTGCAGCCCACGAGCTAAACACCCTTCGACCCCTTCAACCAACTCCCTTTTTCCTAGGGGACATGATCGGCCCGGCATTGAGCAACCAATACGAGTTCGCGGACACCGAGAATGTGCTCCGGTTGTCGTACGGAGCTGCAGAGAACGTCTTTTTTGAACTCGGCTACAACCTGCAGCTACTGCTCTACTTGCGAGGTGATGGCTATCTGACGGAAGCAGTGCGAGAACGTGGTCTTGCCTATTGTTCTGTGGTTCTGCAGCGCGGCTTCTCCTACTACAACGTCAAAGAGGGCGCTTTCGCCAATTTTCGAGACTCGTTAAACAAGTGAGCTACTCCTTTGTTGTATGCCTTCTTTTCTTGGGAAACACAATCATTGGGTTTAGGCATACGGGCTACATGCTAATGAAACTTTGGTTTCCAGGACTCTCTTGGATTATTAATGTTAAGCTGACTTCCACTTCGATTGAAAGAGTGCATACACATATATATATATATATATTTAGTTGAATGTGATAAATGATTGGTAGGAGAATTTTCCTACAATCATATGAGTAGAGCTGATGTTCCTATTAAATTTCACATAGACTTGCTTTTCCCAAAGGTTTTCTCATCCGGAGGGAACTGCAGGTTCGACCTCGCCTACATCTTATCAACAACCCCAGCGGAGGTTGAACCATGACAGTGCAGCCTGCAAGCTCGACACGTTAGCCACTCCGCTGCATTGCCACGAGTGCTCTTGGGTCAAAGGGCAGATGTGAATTTTTTTTAAATATCAATTATTTTCCATATAACATTCTGTGTTGGGATTGTCGATGAAGCACATTTATAGTAGCTATAGCAATCGACGACATTATTTATTCCAGAAAACCTACTCACTTACGAAAAAAGTAACGTCGTCGATTGCTATAACAAATATAAGTTTGCTTCATCGACAATCACAACACAGAATGTAACATGGAATATGCCTGACATTCCTTGAAATTCACATCTGCCTTGTGAGCCAAGAGCACTCGTGGCAATGGGGCGGAGTGCTGTACTACCACCAGGTGAGTTTGGTTCCCGCTGGAATGCTGATAAGACTCAAGAGGGTTCCAAACTACAGTCCAGCCTGAATGCGATTACCGTTTGGTAGATAAGGCTAAATGTACTATAATGAAATCATTAGAACTTTTCATGCGATCATGTGAAAATTCAACTCTTAGTCCTTCTGAGGTGAATACAGCTCTTTATACGATTTACTGGTAGCTTCGATAGCTACGCAATCCGAATACATTTTAGGAGGCTTTGCCAAGTGAACTTTAATGGCATCTTAAAGCCTCGTATTTATGTGAAAAACTCCATTATCAATCAATTAATCACCTCATGTGATATAGGATAATTAAGTTGTTTTATTAATTACTGAGCTATTTAAAATTTATTCACACCGAATAGTTTTGCACCATACAACCTGCTTTGAGCCACGCTAGAATCTAAATCCCAGCTCATGCATGTCTATTGGGGCGATCAGTCAACCGAGATCACTTATTGCAATAAATTCCCGTTGATGCATTCATAAAATCTGTGTAATTCCAAATGTACCAGAGTTTT